CTTTTAGCACAAGAAACCGAGCTAAGCAGCACCAGGGCCTGAATGTAAACACATGTCCTCCAGTGGTACATATTCCTTGACCCCATATTCCCACTCTGCCCACTGTTGTAGAATGAATTTCAACCTAATACTGAGGCAGACATGGCCACTGGTCTTGGCCTGAACTCACCAGTAATAACATCTGAAGTTCTGAAGCGTTCATACTTTGTACTGTAGAACAGCAGGAATGTACACATTTGACAGCTAGACAAGGAAATGTGCTTCTTGGCTACAGGGATATGTACATTTTGATGTTAATATTTCGAAAATATTTTTGGCAGGCCAACAAGCTCCATGGAAGAATCATGTTCACTACTGTGCTACAAATCCCTTGTTTACTTAACATGAGTCACGTACACCAACTTTCCCAGCACTGGAGGGTATGCAAATCTCCCCCTCCCCATACACTGGCTTCAGTGGGTTATAAGAAATCTACCAGCAACATTTATTGAGGAATTAAGCAGGATACAAAAATTGGGGGGGGGGGATGAATGGAGGAGTCCAGACCTAGGCAACAGTAGAGAGAGAGAGATCTAGCAGTCTCCGGCAGATTCCTTGAGGTCTTTGGGGGAAGCTATAACAGTTAATATTCAATGAGACCATACTTTCCCCAGAGTCTTCCCTACTCAGACCTGTTCCCATAACCTTCCAAAGTACAGCCAGTTTTCTACACCTCCTGTTTACTTTGCTACTGGTTCACACCTCCCTAGTTTCTTGCAAGTGGAAATAGGGCTTGTGATGAAGAAGCAGCTGTTTACATTCAGACTTCACAAGGAAGGTGTTCTAAAAATCTTAAGGTAGGGAGGAAAGTGAGGGGTCCATTCTCCATAGCCCATTACATGCCTCTGCAACAGTGGTACACCTTTACTTAGCCTAAACTTTAATCCAGGCTTGGCTCCACACAGCAGAAAAACTAAGGATATGCCTCATGAGAGTGCTTTAAGAACCAGTGGAAGTTGGCCAGAGGCCACCAGGCATCTCTTGGCTTTAACAGTTGAATAGGAACCCAGAGAAGAAGAGAAAACCGACTAGAACCCAGGCAGTTAAGCAAAGCTGGCCAAGAACCTGAGCTGAGCCTGCTCGGTTAAAGCCAAGCTACTTTGAAGCATGGCTCAGTTCCCTCTCAAGACCTCTTTACTGAGGCCCCTGCCACACGGCAGAAAAAAACACGGCCAAAGTGCGGCTATTCAGAGCCGCACCAAAAAAGACACACAGCAGCGGGATCACACAGACCCCCTGAGCCGCCGCACCGTTGCTCCCTGGCACAATCAGATGCCGGGGAGGAAGCCACCGACAGGAGACCGAGGCAGCCGGCTGCGCATGTGTGTGCATGCGCAGTTCGGCTGGGAGCCTCGGATGCGCCGGCAGAAGGACGCACCGGCGATCCCACGGCCACGCTTGCTGCGGCCTTTCTGGTAAGTCCACCTCTGTAGGTGGTTTATTTTAACAGCGGATTTTTGGCCTGAAGGGCCGGATCGGGGACGGGTGCGCGCCGCTTCCCAGATGTTGCAGTGAGACCGCGCCCGTTTGCTGTGCCCCCAATCCGTCCCTCTCCTGGCCCAAAACTTTCTGTGTGACCGGGGCCTGAGAACCACTAAGGTTTTGCAAGTAGGCCTTGTGTTTAGGAGAAGAAAGGTGTGCAAACATCAAGATCAGAGGAGAATTCTAGCAGTGCAGTTGAGAGCAGAATTATGTCCTCCCAAATCCATTGAAGTGAGTGGGCTTAGAAGGGTGCAACTCTGTTTAGGATTGCACCACAAACCATAATCTTTTGGATTTCAAAAGCTGGAAGGCATATACACCAAGATGGATCCAGAAAATGTGTTCCCATGCTCTTCCAGAGACACACTTGAATGCATTTTTAATGGCAAATGCAGCCATTAGTTTTGCAAGTTACCTTGCTTGGCAGGTAAAACACAACGACTAAAGGAGCAAATGAATCATGGGCCAAGATCTTGGCTTGGGAAGATGCTCCTGATTGTGCATTCCAGGAAATCCCAGTAATAAGGAACAAATGGGGGCAGATGGTAATTGGGGCTATGGGCTACTATTTCTAGGGAATGATTATGACAACCTAACCAAATATCTTACACCTTTCAGCATACAGCGAGGATCCATTTGACACCTTCTCGTTTCTGTTTTGAGCTCCTTGCAGTACTTATGAACAGCCATTCTACTTCAAAAGCTGGTTTACCATAAGACTTGCCACCTGGCAGACTGTTGGGTTGAATGAATGATGGTTCTAATCCTGATCATAGACAATAACAGTGACAGATTCTTACCCACAAAGGCACACACATTTTCACAAAATCTACAGCCAGTACAAGACAGAGAGGAGAAAAAGTGGTAAGGAGCATCCACAAATATTTGTTCCACGTGGGAATAAAATGTTATCGGCTATTGAATGCAAAATGTCAACAGTAGGTGGGTCACTTGTTGACTCTCGCAGTGGCTCTTTGACTTTTTCTCTCCAAGCACTCCATGCTAAGTAGACCTGCAGTCTTTTCTAAATTCCAACAACAAGATGGCGCTGGGAAGGCTTCTACTTGGGGGTTAATCATTAGCTAACATGTTGTATTGCCTTAGGAAGAGAAAATGGAGGAAGACTTTGAAACGTTGAGTAACAAAAGACAGAATTTGCCTCAAAATGGGAAATTACGCTTCTTGAAGAACAAGCTGTGCAAACTTGGAGCCAGAATCCAATTCTTCTGAGGTCAAAATTGTCCTTGACATTTCCCAATCCCTCTTTCATACAATAACAAATCTGATCCTAAATGTAATTGTCCTTATCATTGGCAAAGCAGCACCTGGAGTGGATTTGTTTCATCTGGCTACAATTCCTACCTCAAGAATCTTTACTGGAATGCCCAGGAAAATGCTGAAGCATGGCTCCTGTAAATACTTGAAGCTTACCCCCAAGTAACTGCCTGCCGGCCCGTTCGGAACATAAAGTGGCAGCTCAGGATGAGCAAGTGATCTTTCTCAGCTATTTGAGTGTGGTCATAGTCCCCACAGGGATGGGTGGCAGGCCCAGTCAGGGTGTGGTAGAGTAGCATAGAGGATCCCCACTCTGGTAATAGCACAGGATGAATAAGCCTTGCAGGAAAAATATAGTGCCCACAGTGTGTCCAAATTATAGAAAGCATCTGAAATCATTTGTTGTGTGATCTGTGACTACATGGTAACCTCTTCATGTACAGTCATGGCATCAATATATTAATTATCAGTTTAAAAAACATTTTTGAACTTCCACCCTAGTGGCATACAAGGGGAAATGGCTGCAGCAGGAAAAGTGTGGGGAAATCCATCGTGTGGGAGCCCCATTGGCGTCGTGCTGCATTGGCAGCTGAAGTCACACTGAGGAAACTGCAGTTAAGCCTCCCCATGTGGAAAGGGTCATGATATCTGCCACCCCTTGGCAATCCATTCATGTACACTGGGGGTCCGGCCATTTTCTCCACACCATAGCATTTTTAAAAAAAAGTTGTTAGCATTGAGAAAATTCCCTGATCAGGATGATGAGCATATGCACATTAAGAACTTGCCATGTGGCAACAGCCACCAGGTAGAGAGACTGCAAGCATCTACCACACAGTGTGTGCTGTAATGTGCTCAGTGACCCAGAAGCATAGAAATCTGGACAAATGAGTGCAAGGGCTTTCAAGAGGAATGAATGGCTTGCTGTGACTTCTATAGCACGAGCTGCTACCACAAGTGGAGACAGGAGATTAGGAAAGGCGTGATCCGCCATGGGGATGCACCAAAGCACTGGTGCTTAGTTATAAATTCTGTACAGATGGAGAGAATCTCTGTCCCTTCTTCACCCACATAGCAGAATACCACCCCACTTTGTAAGCGTACTCCAGTAGGTAATTCAGAGGGAAAAGACAAGACCAAGTAGGGAGTCTTCCTCCCCTCCCCCCAAATGCCACAACACTGAGTCTAGCAGGAGAAGCATGTGCTTAACGGCATGCCCAAAGTTGCAGGCCTTGCATTGAGATGTTGCAATCCTCTCACCGAGTTCAATCTTGCCTTATGAAGAGAGAGGCTGCCTGTTTTCTCTGCTGCAATTTCCACATCTGAAATGGAAGTGGAAAAGGCGTCTGTTTGCCGAAACAAAGTGTGTTAGTGTGTGCGCGTATGTGTGTGGCAATGTGGCACTTGGCTCCCTTTAGCCTCCTTATCCAAGCCTTTATCTCTCTTGCTGCTGCTCACAGAAAGTCAAGCCATAGAGTGGAGAATTTCAAGGAGAATTCCATTCTAGTGATTTGAAAAACAAGAGATCAGACAGCCAGAATGGCACGTAATCCCAGGCTCTTTGGAGCAATTGCTCTCCTCCAGTTCTGAAACACCCTCCAGGCACCTGGCCAGAGCACCTTCCTCTCCAAAAAGAAAGCAGCCCTTCCTGAACTTTTCTCAACAAGCAGCGAACAAAACAACCGAAACAACTCTCAACGCAGCCACTTTCAAACGCACCCTTTCGGTTCCACTTATTCTGCCTGGTCCTGCCCCAAAGATATCGCCAACTGTAGAAAGTTCAGATCAGAAAGTGACTTTTACAAGTCCAAAGCCCAATACTCCCCAAACTAAGCTCCCCAGTTTATCAAGTGCCTGTATAAAGGACTTGTTTCTGCCCAGAGGAAGTCAGGACAAGCACCCATTCATGGGCACAAAATATTTGCCCCCCCCCTTTACACCACATCAGCATGAATCACATGCAGCAATTTTAGCAAGCTGAGTAACTTTTCATCTGCCTGAAATCAAACGTGATCGTCCCCATTACACCTATGGAGGAAAAGGGATCCCTACGTTTTAAACCTTGTCTATAATTTATTTCATCACCTTTTCTGGAAAAAAATCTCAACCAAGAACAAGTCTCTGGCCATCTAACCCACAGCCTTACTTCCTGTTCCAAGTTGAAGATTCTGGGGTGCCTCGGACACTCCCAGAGTATCACTTACCTGTGCCAAATCATGTTGATTGTCCAGGATCCGTATTGGGGGTTTGATGTCATCGAAGACAGCCGTGTCTTCAGTAGGCTCCCTGGACATAGTGACTGGCTTGAGTAGCGTAAATGCTGTGCTTTCATCTGAACTTGGGGCGCTTACTACAAGCCCCCCACTACTCATCCTGCCCAGCTTCCTCCACTCTCACTCAATCAAGTTGTGAAACACAAATCAGGAAAGAAAGAAAAAAGCTTTGGGACAAGGCACTGAGAAGCTCAGGCACTCCGAAGCACGCCTGCCTGTTGCTAATCTTTAGGAATCCAGGTGCTCTGTAGCCTTAAGAATCCCAATCTGTTACAGAAAAACTTCACCTGTCCTGATGTGGGAGGCACTCTAACCTGGCAAATGTCTGTGACAGACTGGCTGAGCCAATCAGGGAGGAAGTGAGCGCAGTTCTGGCCAATGAAGGAGCCAAATGCTTCTTCCTTAAGGCAACACAAGATAGAATGAGCAGTGCAGAGAGCCTGGCTGCTGGGGCTGCATCTATCAGCCATGTTACAGGTAGGGAAGGAGCAGAAACAAGGCGGATTCTGTGCCAGGTGCTTCCAGGATAAATGCTCAGCTACAATTCTGTTGGATAATTTGTGGGCCCCGAGGTCACCTGGACCATCTCGCTGCTTCAAGAGCCCTGACTTGCCTTTCCTCTTCTCCTCCAGTACTTGTGCCAGGGTTTCACTAGTACCAATCAGCAATACAATGAAATCATATTTGGTCTTTCCCTTCTGTGAGTTAGGCCAATGAAATCTCCACTTTTTCCAATGGCAAATAGAAGATGAATATTAAGGCTGCATAGCAAGAAGGCTTGAACCCACCTTATCAACTCTGCATTCTCTGAGCCTCACTGGCTTTCCAGTGGGAGACTTTTTCTTGATCATGCCTGGGAGACAGAAGGAGTTCAGTACAGTGCAGTTGCCATGTTAACCCCCCCCCCCATTAAATTACATCACTTTCTAAAACAGCATCTAAAGTGTTAGATTCTAAAGTGACGAGCAAGAATTAAATACGCACAGGAAACTGGATATTACAGGTCACTACAGCAGTATGCCAGATTCTGTATTTCACCAAACTCTTGATCAAATGGAGGTAATATAATACAGCTGTTCCTTAAGAAGCAGAAGAGTTAGTGCAGGGCCAACTGGCAAAGAATCTTCATCACCTTCCCTATAATTTCTGCAGTGTCTGAAATGATGAGTTTGCTGTACAAGCAGGGAGCAAGGCCCCTTTCCAGCTGCAGTCGCAGAGCTGAGAAGCAGGCGGCTACCTGCAAGAGGGCAAGGTCACTGGTCCAAGGGCAGCCAGACCTGCTGCTGCAGGATTCCTTATTTCATTCATTTCTGGCCCTTGTTGATTAAGGGAATTTACCTTGGATATTTGCATCTGGATTGCTCCCTATTTGCCTTATGCTTTTCTACATACTTCAGGGTTTTGTTGGGTAAACTGGCCTGGAGTGTTCAGTTTGCTTCTTACAAAAATAGCCCCCCTTTAAAAATGTCAGTTTGGCGGAGAGGTGCTTAAGCACACCTTTTTCTCAAAGCAGCAGAAGCTCATCAATTCAGGAAGCAAATCTGCTTCTTTATCAGTTTCTTTATTCAAAAGATCCTGCCTTATAATTCTCAAGGCCCACAAGGCAAAATAAAACAAAACATCAGATTTTTAAAAAATCTGTTAGAAATAAAACCAATAGTACAAAACCTAATCAATTAAACAGACTGCCAGTACCGGTAAACACAATTCAGAAGAAAACCAAAGCCCCAAATCAAGTAGCAGCAGTTAACAAAGGCAGTTTGAGGAGGAGGGGGGCTTTCCCTCAAATGCATTCTGTTCTGCCATAGTTGTCTGAAAGTGGGAAGAAATGGGAGGCGATGGGCCTTCCTGGAAAGTGAATTTCACCCTCCTGGGGTTGAGAATGTGCTTTGGACTCTCTCTCTCTCTCTCTCTCTCTCTCTCTCTCTCTCTCTCTCCTCTCTCTCTCTCTCTCTCTCTCTCTCTGGGGGGGGGTGTCCCTTGGCCACTTAGGGCTGTAAATGGCACCTTGAATTAGATCAAGAAACCAAGGGGAAGCCATTGCAGTTCTTTCAAAGCTTGGCACAAGGATAGGACAGCCTGTCTCTGCACAAGGAGTCACCACAAAACAAAAGACAAGGTCCCTGTAAATCGAAACAGTCTTGGCTTGATGCATGATTCTATTTTCAGCCACTGAGAATGGACAAAAGCAGCAGAAGGGGTGAGCCAAGACAAAAAGTGAGCAAAGATGGGCCACAGGATCTAAACATGACAGTAATCTTTTTTTATCCAAGTGGGGCTACTTGATCCACACACCAAATACAGTAGCAAAGTTCATTAGAGCTGAAATTGAGAACTAGTCCGCAAATTATTCTCGGTGAATTTTGATGGTGAATATTTTCAGCACCAGCAGAGGTCCAAGCAATGTTCAACATTTGTCAATATCTGATGTCTGGCAAGCTGCCTGTATTTGACACTACCTGGTAGGTGACTTGCAATAGGTTTTCAATCAATGTCCCCTTTATTCATTTAGCTATTCAGACCAAGCAATTATTGGATTTTGGGGGGATTTTTTAACATTTTGTTTGTGTGCCCATGCCTGGAAGTCATGATGACCTCTGGCGACACCTACTGGGACATGGAGGACATTCAGAGAAGTGGCTGGTTAACTTACCTCTGCCTCCCAGCCCTGGTATTTTTTGGAGGTCTCCCATTCAAATACTTGTCAGGGTCGGCCCTGCTTAGCTTCCAAGATCTGACAAGACCAGGCTTACCTGGGCTATCCATATCAGGGCGCAATGTTTAGATTGTGATGTAAAGCTTCTATTTTGAAATTCAAATGGCCAATTTTAATGCCACAGTTCTCATTTGGCAGAATTTTCAAATGTTGTGAGATTTCATTACACCTCCAGTCTGTTCGAGTTCCCAGATGTACAGACCCTCGAAGGCCTCTGCAGGCCAGATTACCTTCTAGTCTGACCCGCAACAGTGTCATAGTGTAGACAAGCCCTCTGGCAAATTTTGTGACATTAGGCAGCACTCCAAGTGCCTCAGGCTTCTGCACACCACCACCCAGACACACCAAACAAAGTACACAGGCTAGATCCAGGACGTTGGACTTCAGTGCCCTCACCAGAGAATAAATGGAGAGAATAAGGTTGAACTGGTGGTATTGTATCATGAGTTCATGACACATCTATGTAGGGGTCATTTCGTAGAAAAAGCGCTAGGGGAACTCATTAGCATAACTCATTAGCATATGCCACACACCCTGACATCACCGGAAGTGTGTCATAAGGCCACACACCCCGCCCCCAACGGTCCCGGCCGCTGCCGCCGGCCTTGCAGCTCCTCTGCCGAGCCCCATGAGGGGCCCGGCGGTGGACCTGCAAGGCCGGCGGGAGTGCAAGGAAGCCCCGCGAAGGCCCTCCCTGGCCCCAGGCAGGCAGGGGTGGGGAGAGGCAGGGAGGAAGCAACTTACCCTCCCTCTTCTCCTGCCTCCTCCTGGCTGAATGAGGGCCGGAAGCGGGGCGGCCGGAAGCAGGGGGCGGGGCTTCGTCATGTGCCCCGCCCCCTGTACCTCACCCGGGGGAACTGCGATCCCCCACGATCCAGCCCCGAAATGACCTCTGCATCTATGGGGCAGCAGCATACCCAAATGGGGGGGGGGATGCTAATGGAGAAGGTACCAGAGAAACATTTAGTGGTGGTAGAAAGTGCCAACAAATCACAGCTGACTTATGGCGACCCCATAAGGTTTTCAAGGCAAGAGAACAGAGGTGGTTTGCTATTGCCTGCCTCTGCATAGCAGTCCTGGCAGTCTCCCAGATCCTAGTCTAAAACCTTGGAAGACCCTTTTGCTGGCCCATCCATGAGTGGAGGCAAAGTTGCAAAGAAGGAGGGAGGGAGCACAGATCTTCCAGGGACATGTTCAAATATTGACTCGCTCTCCAGCTCTCAAGGAGCTGCTTGCACATTCTCCATGCTGGAGAGCTCTGTGATATTCCAAAGCTTACCCTACCGTTAAGCCAACAGCCGCTGAGCTAGGTCCTGCAAAAGGGATAATTGCCTCTCTAGGTCCTACGAAAGGGATAATTGCCTCTCTTGGATAACTCGAGATGCAGGTCACTGATAGAATCAAGGCCGAAGCAAATTTATGGGCAGATAAGAAGTATGCATGTTGTTTTTATTGCCGAAATCAGAAGATCCTTTTAGCTGGGAAATCATTTACAGAGGCAATGCCGAGCTGGATCTGTAGTGCGGCGACAGGGGTGAAGTGCCAGGACTGATAGCATGCTGGAAATTCCCACAGAGATTTGGAAAAGGCAAACACTGAAAACCCCATTATGTCAGTCAACCAACCATCAGTTATTCTACTCCATCCTCAGAGAATGCCAGCCGTGTCCCTTTCTGCAAAGGGCTGCTTCTTTGTGAGGCTGCAACAGACTGGATGAGTCTTCGTTGACCCAACAAGGAGCTCCCCAACCTTTGCAAAATCATAACGTACCACCCCACCCTGCACAATAGCTGTCCAACGATAACCTCCTGCAGAAGAAAGACTTGTCCGTCATCCCCCATTCTAGTACTTTCAGACTTTTCCACACTGGGGACAGTTCCCTCGACTGAGTGATGAATTAATATTTCCAAATATTTGAATGGCCATTTGTTGTACTAAAGAATTTGACAGATATATCTTTTTTATTTTCAAACGTATCCCTCTGACTTCCCATCTAATCCCAGATGGTACAACAGGTATTGAGAGTTCAATGGGAAGTGCCGTCTGGCACCAGGAAGGCAAAAATCTTGCCATCCCCCACCCCAAGAAAAGATGGTATTCCTGTTAACTGCTGATCCTGACCTACTTCATGGTGTCTCGCTGTCTTGGCTAAAAGCACGACAAAGTACACCATTGTGTGCACTACTTAGTGCTCTTCGGCCCTTCTACTGCTGGTCATACACATGTGGAAACAACAGAAGGGTAGTTCTGAAGGTGCTTCTTGTATCCAGTTTCTGAATTGATCTATTGGCTATGCAAAAAGAGTTTGATCCTGTTTTCACTTTCCTCTGCTTTATGATGCCCATGTGTGTTTGCTTTGGTCAAACTGCAGCTCTGGCTTGGTTTAATTTTTGCCAGCCTCGCGGTAATCCTGTGGACCAAGCCTGATGGTGCACTGGCAGTCCTATCTTCAGAGCTTCATGCCATTTTTACAGTTCATTTTGTAGATGT